GGTGCTCACTGTCCTATTTCCACCCTTACTGAAATGTCCATGTCCTGTAGGTACACTGAAGAGGAGAAGACAGCAGCAAGCGAACCAACAGGCACAGGTCCAGCGCCACACCCGTCAGTACAGGGAGGCCTATCAAATGGGGCAGATGAGACGCTGAGACACTGGTCTGCTCTTTGCCTTGGTTCTTCTTAGTGCCTACAATGGGAGCACTTCTCTCCAAAGAGTTACTTTTATCCCATACTGCAAAATGTAATGAACTTGCAACAGAAATAATTTCACTGGACAAAACCTGGATTTTTTTTCAGGCCTAACCAACTCCTTCAGCACCTGTGCTATGAGAGCCAGAATAGCAGTGGTTCACACAGCTTTTATAGAAAATAAATTACTCTTCCAAGGAGGGACAGGAAGTTTTGTGGTCTTAATCTTTTTTTTTTTTACCACAGAAGAGGGGAGAAAAGCAGCTTTATGTTTGAATCGTCTTTCTCTGTCCTCCATCTGTTACCCTTTTCTTTCCTGTTCTTCCTCTCTAAAGTGCTGCCATGAGCACAATAGCAGAACTGCAAGTCACAAGAGTTTTTGCTGCCAATCAAAAACATTGACACATTGTGTTGGGAGGAAGCTTTTTGCCAGTGTAATTAGGCTGTTTTAAAAGCACCAAATGTTTTATTTCTTATGTTCTTTCAATGGGTGTTTTTTTTCTTCCCTTTTTCAAATGAAACTGAATTCTCTGTATGGTGATGCTTTACTGTTTTAATTCACTTTCTCAGGATTAGTAAAACAGCAGCAAACAAGTATACTGGGGGTAAGAGAGTACTACAGGCATATTTCAGGTAAAGTACTTCCTGGCTGATGTCTGAAGGGTTGAGGACACTTAGTATGAAAAGAATGTAGATAATATGAGCTTAATAAGATTGTAGTGTCATCTGTTTTCAGATGAAGGGTTGTGGAGGGGAGATTGATTATTTGGATGTGTGTATTTCTTGTGATACAGTTTTGCAGCTGCGTTTACATAAAGGTTTATGGTGTGGGGCTGATATATGGTGAGAATAGCTTTTTATCAATCATACTTGTATTCTGTAAGATGTCTTGCCCTGGCTTGCTGAAATTGTGAACCAACCACTTTGTGCTACATACTGTACATGTTGTTACATTCTGAATGAAAATGGTGAAAGGAGAATGTTTAAAGCTAACCTTGTGTGCACTACCAGTGAAAAGGTTTGGACACGTGCTCACTTTTAATTGAAAGGGAATGCGTGTCCAAATGTTTTGACTGGTAGCGCATATAAGAAGTAGTTTTAGAAAAGATATTTTTGGGTGTGATTGTTCTAGCTGTATTGTAATTTGTTCTCTTTTGTCTTCTGTTCTGTCCAATTTCACACACTTGCAGTGAAATAACAATGTTAAAATTAAAAGCAGTTGTATCGTCTAGGTTTCTCTAGCCAGATGAAGAACCTGTTGGGTTTAAATGCAAGTGTGGATTTTGCTTTTACTTGCAGATCAGATTAAAGCTACATGCCCAGGAACTGAATAAATAGAGAAAAACTAGACGTTCTAATTTTATTGCTGCTGCTAAACATTTATCAGAGCAATCACTATGCGGCAGCCGTCGGCTGCTGTTCTGTCCTTTCTTTTGCTTCTGGTTGGGATTTTCTTTTTAACCCTTGTTATACATTAAAACGTGCCTACTTAGAGCAGTGACTGAAACTGGTGTACCAATGTCAGTGATCTTTATCATGACTGAAACATCCTCTGGACTGCTGAAACTGAAATAATGTGGCTTACAGCTTGGCAACATACACTATGATGTTACAAGCATTTTCATATTATATCCCACAGTTTTTCTCTGGATATAGTATTATCTGATTATATTTACTCCACCGACTTGCTTTTGCTTAGTTTTCAGTTGCCTTTAGCCACATTAAATCAAGGTCAGCTTCACTGACAAACAGATGAGAATGCAGAAGACTCCAAATCGAGTTGCTGGTAAAAGTATATAGTTAGTTTCTTAAAATAACTTAGGAGGGAACAGCTTGATGGAGCAAAGATCATATTTTTTTAAATTATTTTCTTACCCTTGCTAAAGAGTTATGAGCACAGCTGCAGCTCAGGATTGTTTTCTGTGCAAGGTGTAAGGATGCTGATCAGATCGATTCTATGCAGAGTATTACAAAGCTCAACAGTGACAATGTTGGCCTCTTCACAGAGAAATGCCTTTATTGTTGTCTCCTAAATGGTGAAATGGAAAAGTCTATTGTGCTGTCATAAGAAAATACTCCTATGTGCTACAGCAACATGCAATCTTCTGTCACTTTCACCGATTTAGTTTCTTTTCGGTGCTACTGGTAGTGATACTTTTCTCCTTTTTTTATATATTTTTCTTGATTTTTGACCAATTTCATGTGTGAGCTGCTTTGCTGAATCATCCATATCATTTTGTTGACTTAGTATGATGATGCTGGGTGTTTAAGGTTAATCCTCTCTGGGATGGTTTTCTTTATTTTATGTGTTGCTATGCTGTTGAGAAAATGTGCACTGAAGCGTAAGAAACTTAAACAGAATGATATATATTCAGTACTACTGTCTGATTTTTAATGTCTCCTGTTTTTTTTGTGTGTGTGTGTGTGTTTTCAGTTGCCGCCTTGTTTATATTTACTTTTTTGTTCTGTTTCTCATTCTCCTTGCTTTGAAAATTTAGCTAAATTCACAAAGGTATTGCGCAAAAACTTAATTTCTTTTGAACTACTTGAAATGCATTAATAAACCAGAATTGATCAAATGCTTGTTGTCCCTCATTGTACACAGTAGAAAAGGGTCATTATGGTTGCCCTGCAGTTTTGTGGTTCTTTAAAGAACTGTCCTACAGAACCAGGGATTAGGGGGTTAGGGTTGGGACAGGGAATGAAAACTGTCATTGTGTTAGGAACTCGGACATTTGTTAGGAAAGTGGTAGAGAGACAGGAGCTGTTTCTAGGGAGGCCATTAGGGTTAGGGGCAGAGGAGAGGGGGGGCAGAAGGTGGGGAGATAGAGGAGGGGAGGGAAGGTAGGGAAGGTGGGGCTGAGAGGGAGAGGAGAGAGAGAGGCAGGGAGGGAAGGTGAGGTAGAGAGGAGAGAGAGAGGGAGGGAAGGGAAGATAGAGGGAAGAGATGGTGGAGATTGAGGGGGAGAGGAGGGGAGGGATGGTGGGGAGAAAGAGGGGAGGGAGGAAAGGTAGAGATGAGGTGTCTATCTCCTCTCCCCAATGAATGGGAGAATCTTCCTCTTTCAGCCTTTATAGCTTCAGCATACGTTCAGCTAGAAAAACCATTCAACCTTTAAACAATTCAGCAAATCTTCAGCTATTCATCTTGTATTCAGCTTTTACAATTTTTGAATTAACAGCTTACTTTTTATGGTGATTTTGGACATTTCTCAGCCTCTCCATTCATTTGAATGGGGAGAGCTAGAGTGGGTGACATCACTTGCACTCCAGCTTGTTTTCTGCTCTTATTCTGTCAACCTTAAGCTTCCACACACAAATTATAGGTACATGAAAACGGTAGCAAAAATTCAATCAGAAAATGTCCTTGTTATTGTGGTAGGATGAACGGTTTTAGTATGAAGTGGCAAATTCCAGAGAGAGTGCCACCTCACTCTCCCATAGACTCCCATTGTGAAAAAGATTCAGAAAACCTTGACTGAAAAATGACTATTTGTAAATCGCCAGTTCCTTAGTTTTATGGAATATCTTCACATAAAGGTGATCAATCTGTTGTGTTGCACCTCTGAATGCAACCTAGTCCAGTACACCACCTTTAACTATGACCTCAGTAATAAACATATCATTGAAGTTACTGATTTATAACAATTTCACCAAAAATTGAAACATATTGAGCTTTATAAACACAGATGTTAACACTTTGTTGTCCACAAGATGAAATGCAAACTGATTAGGTGGAAGCTGGGTGGCACTCTGATAGTAATTATCTGTAGAGCTGAAGCAAGTAGCTGATAGCTATGTACTCACTGAAAAAAACAAAAGTCACACTAGCATTAGCGAGTCAGTGAGACATATTTCTGCATGTAACAGCAATAGTTTGACAAATAAGCATATTGCTCTCCAGTTTGTGATTCATTATGTGAGTTTACTACTGATTGTGGCATCTCTCTCTTTTTTCTTAACATCTGTATTGCTCTAACATCAGTTTTGCCTATACTTTTGTCAGATATAGTTCAATTCACAATACATTGGTAAAGCTCCTTTATTTGTGACTACTGTGACATAAATCACATACTGTAATCTGTTATAGCAAAGTGAATTCTGGCTATGATGCACACTGTCGTCACACTGATGACTCGCATGTTGACACTTGGCACGTGTTTTACGCCGGATGCCTTTCCTGACGCAACCCTGAGCCGCAGTGGCAAGAGCGCTGCGCCTTAACAACTAGCCTATGTAGAATATATACTACATATACATACAAAAAAACTTTTCTGGGCTTCTGGCACCAAGGACCTGGATAAATGCACCAAATGAGCAACTTGAATTGCACAGAATGGGCACCGTGCTTCAGTCCGGTATCTAGCTTTATGCATCTATAGTGAACACAAGCTTTTTCCTAATCTCACATAGCCAAACCTCTGTTTCGTCCAGCTGCTCATGTTATATTAAAAAATTCTCGAAAACAGCATCTGACAGATGGCACCCGAAATGCATCAACAAAAACAAAAACTCAGAAGGTAACAAAGTAGCCTGTTATACTGTGGATCACTATTGTTTTTACCACACAAAAGCTTTAGGTTATATGGAAGCATTCGCCAAAAACTGGAGACCTTCTCTCCAATTTATCAATTGTCTTTTTGCAGTTTTTTTTGACTCTATTTAATGTGTGATCAAAGATGACATTGTGCTCCCTTTATAACTGTTGCCTTTAGCTTTTTGCATTGTTTTTGGTTTAAAAACTGTAACATCAGCTGTAATTCCTGGAGACTGAAAAAAGTTAATTTTATGGTCACTTAAAAGCTCCAAGAGTCATGTTAAGACTGATGACTCTGGGGGGTACCATCAAAAGCTCTGCACTCTGGTAGCGCCGTGGTTTTTTTTTTAAACATGGAGGTACCATTAACATATCAGTCTATGATGGCTATATGGTAATACAAGTATACATTGTGGCTGAAAATCAAGATGACAAACCATCAGGAACCTAATGTTAAAGATATTTAATGTATTCTGTGTAAGGCAAATTTACCAGAAGTTAACATTCAAGAAACGATTAGTTTCATGACACGTTTGTTTCTGACAAAGAAATACACTACCAACTTTTTGAATGAGTTTGGGGACTTTGTTTACAGCTCATCAATGTTAAGCATGGCCAAACAAGTGGATTGACAGCCAGCAGCCTAACTTTAAAAAAGATTGTTACATTTAAGTAAGCGCATCTTACTTAAATGTAAGTAAGGTGCACCGAGTGCACCGAGTTACACAGTATACTGAATATTATGTTGTTCTCATAAAAGCAAAATTAACCTGCTGGATTTTTGAAGGGAGTTTGGTCATTTTCTCTCAGTAAAAGAAACAAGGGGTTCATAAAGTGAAACAATGAGCACTGTCCTTGGTGCTGAAGAGAAGAATCAAACAGCGACCTCAGCATCTAACCCTGTTCATCTCCACCAATAACAAATAGTCTGCAGAGACATGCTTCAGCTTCACATTTGTAGTTTTCACTACACATTTATTTCATACAATTTTTATGAATTAAGGTTTTACACAATGTGCTGAAGAAATATCTGATGTTACATTACCATAATTCTACATACTATCAACCTGTACACTTGAATTTAATTTGTATAGCACCAAATAAAAGTCACAGGACATTTTACAAAGTAAGGTCTACATCTTAACATTATCACTAGAGAAACCCCCAACAAATCCCCCTTTGCACTTGGCGACAGCAGAGAGGAAAAACTCCCTTTAGCGGGGAGGAAAAAACCTCTGACAGACCCCGGCTCTCAGGCCAGCCATACTGTCTCGCCCGGTTGGGGGGAGTGGATAGTTTTCACAGTCATCACCGTCATGGAAAATAAGGCAGATACACCCAAAGTGAGTGTCCCAGAGTTTATTTAGTCATCTGAGTTGTCTGTCCCTGCCAGGCTTTCTCCCTCCCAAGAACCCCAACATGCTGCTGGTTGGTATTGCAGCTAATGCGCAATAGAGCTCTAACAAACCCATTTACGTATGAAACTGCCAAACGTATCTCCACATCAGTGACGCTACTTTGCAGGGGTGGGATAAATTCCCCTGCTGGGAGGCCTCCCAATGTCCGGAAACTCTAATAATATGAAAAGCTAAACACCACTGGGCCTACATGAAGCGCAAGACTCCCTCTTGAAACTTGGCAGAGCGAGATGACCAAGAGGCCTAACACTAAAGTACAATAAACTGTTTTTAATCAAAATGTGGTGATAATCTCTATAACAGCACTTAAAGATACAAAGTGCAGCTTATGTTTGACAAAATGCCCAGTTTATCTAATCTAACATTTAACTTGACAAAATATCACACGTGCCAAAAAAGATTTTAAATGTATTAGATTATCTATGGGCTGAATGAGCACTAGAGAAAGCCAGTGTCCAAAACAGTGGTACAGACAATCTAATGTGTCAGAGTATAAAGTGAGCACAGAGTAACAAGCAGCCTCAGGCTGATCTCCGGCCAAGTTTACCCCAGTAACCAAAGCAGTGCATGACTAATAAAATGCCTGACACACTGACTATATCAGTCAGGCTGGGGATATTAGACTGGTAAATGGGAGAGGGGCATGAGGAAGTCAGATGGTTAACAACTAAACTCTGCCCCCTGTAGGACACGAGACAGACTAACAGAATAGATGGCCATGTTGGGCAGACAGGCAGTGAGAGAGAGATAGCCAAGTCTCTTCAATACTTCCTGTATGAGAATATCTGGATGTGCTACAACAGCAAACTGATCCTACATCATGGAGATCAGATGGTTAGTGACCGAAACTCCTCCACCTGGATGATATGAGAAGCAAAGACAGATATACTGTATGCTGCCATGGCAACCATGTTGGACAGACACAAAAACCTGCACCTCATCAGTCCTCACCTTATGCACGCCCAGCCATGCAGCCACGCCACGACCAGCACTGATTGTTGTGGTGTCTCATGTCACACACATGTAGGAGGCACTGAAGGACAGGGCTGTCTAAACAAAGTTTACTTTCACAAGTGTTTAGTGCCTTACCTTTTTAATCAGACTCATGGCTCCAGCCACCCTCAGGGACAGACAGATGAGAACATGCAAACAAGTGACAAGTGTGCATGAACAGAAACAGACAAACATAAAGACAAAGACAGATGTAGATGTGCAGACAAACAGAGAAAGAGTTTGCTGGACAAACACACAGATGGGGTGGGGGGGCCGCCCTCACTGGCGAGGTTCTTCAGAGGATCCCAGGTTTCAGTCCAGATTTGCACATTACCAACTCCAGAGGAAAGGTTCATTCAGCTGCTGCCGCCATCTCATCCAAATGGTAAATGGACTGTATTTATATAGCGCATTTTTCACAGTGTGTTGCACTGGCCAAAGCGCTTTACAGTAGATCATACACCATTCACCCATTCACACACACATTCACACACCGATGACGACAAGGTGATGCTGGAGTCAAGTGTTGTTGACTGTGCTTCCCACAGCTGAGGGGGTCTCATCAGGTCAGGTCAAGTCTGAGTCTCAGTTCTCAGCATCAAAGAGTCTGATGCACAGGTCTATAGTCAGC